AGATTACTTTCGCACTGCCTGGCGTTATTGTTGAACTTGCGTTGTTCCCTTGAATAGAGTCCGGCGATTTTGCCGGCTCCCTTCGCTCTTGACTTGGTGTATCCATTGTTGAGGTTTGTACTTTGATTGTTCTTTATCATTTTTTTTAAAGCAACATATCACCTTGATAGTTGTTATCACTCGTTTAGATGTACGCGTGACTGCTGGATACAGTCGGAGAAATCAAGCGACGAAACATTTAGAATCCACCAGACCTATTAGGAGGCAACTTGGCGATGTTCTTCGCAGGCTCTGTTAATTGGCAGCTTTCCGGTGATGGTTTCGTGACATCTACTATTCTCTCGTCGTTTCGTCCACACTGTCTATGATGAGCGTCTCCCATCTCACTCCCGTGATGATTTGCGGCTCCTCCTAAGTCAAGGGGCGTTCCGAAACCTCAGAAGTTCTAATCAATAGCACGATACCGTTGCACTTCATATTGTCAGTCTAAGTAAGCAATTTTTAATCCTACAGATTTTTTCCTGAAACTGGGGGTCCCCTGAAGTTTGCCTCTGATTTCTCTGGTAGCCATTTTATTGCTTCTTTTCTCAGTTCAACATATTTAAAAAATATTAATGATAACTGTTTTAAATTACGGTCCATCATGAATCGGATAGGACTTAATATGTATAACATAACACTTATTTCACCTGTTTCTGCTAAGCATGTCTCTGATGATGAATCCGCGACGGATGTCGAAACGCCAGGCGAAAAAACATATTGTCCCAGCGATCGAGTCTTCTACTTCTCACTTATTTCTACTGTTTACACAGTTGCTCACATGCAGCCGTGATAAGAAAATTTGTTTTTATTATTATAGCAGCACTAATTTTGTAATGAATGGGCCTCTGGTTCTTAGGTATACAATTTATTTATTTATTAGGATGGGTCTGGCAGATTTGAAAAATGCAATTGACGCAGTTGTGAAAAATTCGTGGCCTTGGTGGTATTCGAACCTACATCAGTAGGGAAGACATTAGTACAGCCAACACTCTACCAACTGAGCTATGAAGGCACGCCGAGAGCTGTGAATTTCATTACACTGGTCGATTTACCCGCCCGGACCGCCCCTTTTCAATTTACGTAGCCTAATTGATAGATCGTTGACTGTATTAAAGGCCTACCTTCTGATTTGGATTGGAATACTACCGAGGCCACGAACTTTTGACCATTAGGTCAGTTGGAATATTTTTTGTTATAAGTTACTTTGGATTATTTAAGTTCAGTGATGATACACAATTTAAGCATTCAAGAACTCAAGATAGGCGAACGAACGTTTTCGATTAATTCATCATCAGGCATGTACAATAATAAAAAGGAGTAGAGTTAGTAAAAGTTTCAGCAAACAATCAACGGTATTTAAGGGCGGGGGAGAGGGATCTGTTAAAAAAAGACCAAAGGGGGGCAGGGGGGAGGAGGGGAGTGTCCCCCAAAAAGTTCATATCAACAATAGTCCCGTCACTTTGCGGCATCGTGACACCAGATGTCAC